AGTTGCTGACTGAGGTTAAACCACAGCAGATGAGTTCTTGTCTTCTTTAGAGGGGTACTAACAGTCTGCCTTCTCTGACTTGTTGCTATTTCACAAGGCTTGTGGGAACACAGTATTTTTGAGATTTTTTTTTTTTTAAATGATTGAAAACTGGTAAGTATTCAAAAGCTATAAGGAAAGACTAAAGAGACAGATTTCTAAGTTCAGTTTCTGTAGAAAGTTAGGCTTTAAAAAGTTCTTTACCTTTTTTAGTTAGCATGAAGTAGAAGAAGTAGATGATTTAAAAAATAAAGAAGAAAGATGAAAAGAAAAATGCTTTAAATTGTTGAGGAAAATGTGTTGTGTGGGGTCTTTTTGTTTGATTGTACTTCTTACAATTCATTAAATTTGATATATGAAAATAATGTATTTTTGTACAGGGTGCACAGCTTGGTGATGGACATAATGGTGGTCTTACAGCTCTTGATGAGAAAGCTCTCCTGCAACAGTGCTACACAAGCAAGCCCTATAATACGCAGCACAGTATAAGGAAATCAGAAGCTGTAGGTATTTTGACTGATATTATGCTCTTAACAGTCTGGGCTCGTAGAATGACTTGCCAGATGTTCAACAGATGTTAGGCCTTTGATGATTTGGTCCGAGTACGTAGTTGCACCCATTGAAGTCATGGGAGTTTAAACATTTGTTTAAAGGACAACTGAACTGAGCAATCCAGTGAGCAATTTTTAAGACTATCTGCAATGCTTGCATTTTTTGCTGAAATGTGTATGAATGAGAATGTATTTCTAGTTATTATTCATAATTTGCATACATGCAACTAAATTAACAGAGTGATTTGTGTAACCTGAGTATAGTGTTACATTTCGTCTGCTCTGTAGCTTGTACCTGAACCTATATGTCATGATCCATGGATCTGTGGTTCCATCAGCTCTGACTTGTTTCTTGTGTGAACAGGCTGTTTTCTCTTATTAACTCCTGAAATGGAGTGTTTGATGAGAATTGGCTTTGTAAGCTGTGTGAGCTGTGCTTGTGGGTGTTAGATCGGGTCAGCCATGGCTTTGGCTGATTCTTCAAGCTCCAGAGATGGAGCTTTTACAGCATCCCTAGGCAACATCTTCCTGTGATACACTACTCTCCTTGTGAAAAAATTCTTCCTATTTTCCAGACCAAGGCTCAGTTTGTAACCTTGGCCTCCTGTTACACTGGTGGCCACTGTCAAAAAAAGTTTGGTTGTCATCTTGTACCTTCCTTTCAGTTGTAGGATGCTTTCAGAATGCCTCATAGCTGCTGTTTCTGCAAACTAAACAAACCCAAGCTTTCTTAGCCTCTTCTTTCAGTTGCTTTGGCTCTGATCCCCTGTTAGACCTTCTCAAGTTCCTCATGTCCCTATTGGTCTTGGGAAGGAGTGAGGTCTGAAAACTGCACTTATGGTTGCACAGGCTGTCTGGCTCTTTGTAGGAGTATCTCTAAGGTTCTCTCAGGTTCAAGCTTCTGGTAGTGGTAGGAATAATGGAAAAAATTGGAAGTAGTAACTGCATACATCTTCATTCTATTGGGTATATGTTGCATCAATCGTAGGCATTTGATTTTATGGTGTTTTAAAAATTTGCTTAAGAATACACATTAAAATTTCCTTTTACTGTAATCATTAACATAACCTCTAATGTTAAAGTAGAATATCTTTTTTTTTTTTTCTGTAGTTTGGGATGAAAGTTCCCTTATTCAAGACAGATTATCGTACATGTGTGATTGCCAAGAGATGCTATATATAATAAAATTAGGTTTGTTTTGGAAGAAGGTTGGTTTTCTCTGAATAATCATATTTTATGAACAAGACTTACTGCTTTTTAAACAGTGAGAGCTGCTGTAAGTTCAATGTTTGCCTCAATTATTTTGTCAATTCATAGTAGAGCTTTTATCACAGCAATTTTGTAAATTTATGGGAGAGCTTTTGTCTAACACCTGAACGAAAGATATTCCGTCGAAGAGTACATTTAGTGATCTAGTATTCAATTGAAATTCAAGGTGTAAGGTTTCTTTCTTTCTTTTTAAATCAGGTTATTTTCAGCATGCTAGCTGTTCTGGCTCTGTCAGCCTGGGTCCATGGAATATGTTGTGTTTTAACAAACACTGCTCCACTGTCACTCTGTCCTCCTTTACATGATGCTTTTTATTGAATGTGTTGTGACAGTTAATGGGCAAAGATTCAGTAACTCAGAATAAAGCACTTGTAGTTCTGATAGATTCAAAAATGAAATATAAAAGCAAACTGACAAGCCCCCTATCTCCTATCCAGAAGTCTTTTCAAGCTTAATATTAGTTTGGAATAAACTCTGGTTAGACTGACATTACATTATTTATTTGGGTTTTTTTTATTTTTTGGATGGTGGAGTTTTTGTTGTTTTGTTTAGTTTGGGGTTTTTTTGGCTAGTGCCAATCAGTGTTTACTTGAAGATCGGGAATTATAGCCATAACATCTCTGTGGAATTAGGATTATTATTATCCCTTAGAGTTACCTGGTGTCTGGGAATCAACTTTCAGTTCTTCAGCCATGGGATGGCTTGATCTATCTAGAATTTGGTTTGCACACAAGAATTGTGTGGAAAAAAGCAGCAGTCAGGAAAAAAATTAATTCTTTAGTTTCAGAATACCTACAGAGTTGTCAGAAAGGTTGCGTAAACCCCCTCAGTAACAATAATCTCTGTTTTCTCATATATTAATTTTTTTTTTTTTTTTGGAGAAGAGGTAAATTTCAGTGCACTGACAAGTTCAGAAATCTGGAAGATACAGAAAGATGCTTGGGCTTGGTTGTTGCCTGTAGCCTTCGTGCTGTCCTGGGGCATCCTCTTGTGCTTCAGCTTCTCTTTCTGTGTAACAAATGGTGATCAGCGTCTGAGGCTTTACAGTGAATGGCACAAGGTTATGGTTCAATGTTACTCTAATAAAAATAATAAGATCATGTTAAATCCCCTTATCCCCCTAAGGGTGATCTTTCTTGAAAGGTTTTTCAGATCGGCTTGTCTCAGCAGAAAATTGCTGTGGCACGCAGCAAATAAAAACTGTGCATAGAGAGTAAGTCTAAAAAGACTTTTTTTTTTTTTTGACTAAATATTGCCAGAGGTAAAATTTCATTCTCTGAGTTGAAATCTGTGTCAACCATGAAACCTGCAATAGTGTGAATTTCCTCAGGCCCTCTTGTATTTACAGTATTTATTGGAAACAATACAGATAAGGATGCTGTCTGTCAACAGAATTACAAGAATTCTTGTATTTTTTGACAGTTAATATGCGTAGACAATTTGACTGTGTATCAGAGAATATTATCTGTCTGTTGTGCAAATATAACATCTATAAAAAAGATGGAAAAAGATTAATTGTTACATTGGTAAGATTGTGACCTCTGAATGCTATCTTAAAGGGTAATTTATTATTTGAAGTGTCTGGTGTTATATATTTCATGTTCTCTCAGTCAGTTTTTCATTGCAGGAGGATGTTGCTGCAGAGAGGAGAAAACAGGCTGTAGTAGAACAAGTGATGGTGGATCAGTTATCTAGGTAAGTGAATTTATAATTTTAGTTTTCCTTACAGAAGTATTTAGATCTGTTGTGTGTGGCTTTTCTTGCCTAGGAGGTGTTTTGATCATCTCATTCCAAGTCTTATGCAGTCTTGTATAGTGTTATTATTTGCAAAAATTCTTAAATGAAGTCTTTTTAATTTAAAGTGTCGGTTTAAGGTGCTATGTGTAAGATAGTTTTTTCTGAGCATAAATCAGGTTTAAGTATAAAATAAAAAATTAATAGCTTTACAATAGCATTAGTTCTCAGAAATAACCTTCTTGCACCTTAGCAAAATACATGGATGCCTGCTGTTAGAAATTACACTTCAGTATTTATTTTCTTTTCTAAGAATCTTGAGTTTCAGTAATATTCCTTTATTAATATTGACACAACATCCCTCAGGAGTAAAGGAGCATTATATCAGTGTTGGGCAGGTAGGATGAAAAGGCACAATGACGAATCACGTTGATCAAGTTTGTATACAAAGTCTCTCTGAACTGCATTGCTACCCCCTTAGGTCCAAGAAAGCATCACTTCTATGCAGAAAGATCCCTTTATATTTTAAGGGGTGGGGGAGAAGTAACTTACATGTAAAAATGAGTATAGCAAAAACATCTTTCCTCATTTTCTTTCCCACTTCTTCTTGTTTTAAGCATGCTTTAGTAATTCAGGGCTTTATCCAAGTTGTCTGGTTATGGCAACATAGGATACTGCAAGGTAGTCTAATGTAGTTTCATGTTACCTTACATTTGGTAAGAAATATCTGTGGGTAGCTCTATGAGATGTTGCATTCTGTGCTTAGTTTACAACCTCTGTAGTCATCTGTACCGATACTATAGCCCATCAGAACCTGAGACTTTGAGGTTGAAATGTTGCACTTCACCATTTAATTTTTTCTTGGTTTTTGTTCCAACTGCAGTTTAAATGACAAATTACCTATGTTGTTTAAAAGTCTATTAATGCTTTTATATTAAAAGGTGAGAGATCAAGAAAGTTGCATGAAGGAAACAAGACTGTACTGAAACACAGTGTTAAATTCCAAGTGTCATTGTAGCAGGATTAAAAATATGGAAATGTTCAGTGCAGAAATGCTTGTCCTATGTCATATTTCTACAAAGATGTAGGTAACACAGATAATTACAGAGATTATTTTAAAATTGCATTGGTTGTGTTGAAGTGTGTCAATCCTACTGATGTGGGATTAAACACACAGGTCTCTGCCTCTTGTATCACGGATGTTCATTCTGTGCTTAACCTCCTTCATCTGCTCTGCTTTATTTTTTCCACGTATCCCTTCTCCTACTCTGAACCTTCTGTTGACAAGGTCAAAAGAATATTCAGTGGTGCTGCAGCAGGATGAACTTTTAATTTAAAAAATCTCTCTGTTTATGTTCCAAATATAACTGTGTCAGTACTGCCAAACAAATAGGTATCATACAGCAGGATGTTAATTGGGGAAGTTATAGTTCAAAACTGTTGCATTAAAAAGCCCTATTAAAGGAAACACAAAGGTGTTTTCATTTCTTTTTTTAGTAGTCACTTGCTGTTAAACCAGTGAAACCGATATGTGAAAAGATGGATATGCATAGATCAGAGAGCAAGTTTATAAAACTGTACTAGTCGTGCAAAGTTATTTTTTTCCTTTTGATTATAAAACATTTCAATAATGTAAAAATAATCTATTTTAAAAGTTTTTTTCTTTTGTTTACTTATCGAAGTGATAGAGAATACGAAAATGTTCAGAAACCAGTTCATCTATTTATTGACTGCTTGATGGGACCTTGAGATCCTATGGACTGTGTAGGCAGTGCTTTGGGAGAGGAAGCACCAATATTTTTGTTGGATGATGTCACTGATTTTGGAGGGAGCCATGGATAAAGAATATCACTATTAGAATATTTACAGAATTAGTGGGTGAAAATAAAACCAACAAAAAACCCACCAACTCTTTGTAATCCTAAGATTTGTTTTATATATACATATATAAAATATACTTTAAATAATACATATATACATGTGCAATTACTATATACTAGTGCACTGCCAGAATATTATTTGATTTATTTAATTCTGAGTAACCAACTTCAGAATTTTTAAAAGCAAACAACAAAATAAGACCACAAATTTATGCAAGCTTAATGAATAACTCCAAGGTTGTACTGCTGTGTGGTTCATGGGTGTTTTCTTTCATGATAAGAACACATAAGATCTGAAATTCAAGACTACTAATAGTCAGAGGGCTTCTCTCTGCTCTTCATGGTCAGAGCTGTTATAAGTGATCCAGAGCAATCCATGCGTGCAGATGCTTACAAAGAAGCTCCTGGATTTCCAGGACTTGGGACAGCACCAATGTGTTTTAGGAAAAGAACACTGCATGAAACAAAGTAAGTTTCCTCTAGCAGTCGTTTATTTTAGAAATACATTTTCTGCTTATTTTTTATTATTTTGGGTTCTGTGAAGTCTGTTTGCCTTTCCAGATGTTTTATTTCTGGCCTGCATCTATTAGCTTCACGTGAGGCCTTTTTTCTAGCCTCCCTATGCTTAGAATTGCCTAGTGGGACATTTTTATGTGTATTCTCTGTGTATAATGGTTGATTCATAGAATTTGTAGAAACTGGGAGGACATTCTTAAGCTCATATTGATATTGTTCATCTCGGGGTTTTGCCAACCTTTTCTGAGCTGTTGAATGCTTGCAAACTTGTCATATCCTCTTAGAGATTCCTATCCTGAGGCACATAAAATTGCATAAATACGCATCCGCAAATGCTAATGTAGATCTTCACGATATAATCATACTTTGCTTTCATGTTTTGATTTATGCTGCAATAATTAACCGTATTGGCATTTAAGTGTCATTCCTGGCCTGTGAATATTGAAATAGTAACTCCAAAGGCTTAAGGAAAAAATGAGAAAACATTGTGATCCATAAAATTAAATGATTCTGCATGTCTGAGTTTAAGTCTGTTAATCTTTCTCAATATGCAGACAAATACCTCTGCTTTGCACATTTTAACATCCTGCTCTAAAGTCTTTCTCTAGAAATGTCATCTTTGTATTCTTAAAAAAAAAAAAAAGGCAACAAAACTAGTCTCAATTTCTTAGACCCATGACATGGACAAATCTCTATTTCTGGAACTAGTAGTATGGCCAATATAAAATATCTAAGTGGTTAAAAAAAAATCCCCAACCTCTGGGCTTGAGTACTGCAGCCATGTCTGGGGCCCCCAACTTGAGAAGGCCATAGACCTGTTTGAGTGAGTCCAGAGGAGGCCATGAAGATGATCAGAGGGCTGGAGCACCTCTCCTGTAATGAAAGGCTGAGAGAGTTGGGCTTGTTCAGCCTGGAAAAAGGAAGGCTCTGGGCAGACCTTAAAGGAGCCTTCCAGTACCTGAAGGGGCTACAAGGAAGCTGGGGGGGACTTTTTACAAGGGGCTGTACTGACAGGACAAGGGGTAACGGGATTAAATTGAAAGAGGGCAGATGTAGATTAGGTATCAGGAAGAAGTTCTTCACGGAGAGGGTGGTGAGGCACTGGAACAGGTTGCCCAGAGAAGCTGTGGATGCCCCATCCCTGGAAGTGTTCAAGGCCAGGCTGGATGTGGCTTTGAGCAACCTGGTCTAGTGGAAGGTGTCCCTGCCCATGGCAGGGGGGGTGGGGCTAGATGATCTTTAATGTCCCTTCCAACCCTAACCATTCTGTGCTGGTACATGGTAGAGTTTTAATTCTTTGTATATATAAACAAAATATCCCATTCATGTCTGTGCCTTCTGTGAATGTACTCTTACATTACATAATTACAGAACACCTTCCACATTACGAATCTGAGTTGCTTTCTAATTCAACTATGAGGAATCATCTCCTCAGCCAGTTGCCACGGATACTGTGTTTCACATTTTTGCTGTTTTGAAACAGTTGATTTTTATGTAACATTTCTCTGTGAGCATGTAGGTATCATTAACATGCTGCATTATTTTCACAGAATAAGGACCAAATCAGGATTAACTGAAAACATGCTCTCTAACAAGCTACGCTTTGACAGTAGGATTATATCAAGGTAATCACAAATTTTGTGAAGCATTTAAATTCTATGCATTTATGAATTATGATTCTTACCCTCTTGAAATAATTAATTGCACTGAAACTTTGGCCCCTACGTTTAGAAAAAAGTATGTGCTGTATGGGTATGTATATGCATACATGTATAATACAAATTTTGACACGCCTGATGGGTAGTGGCTTTACAGTCCCATTGTACAGTGTTAAGATGCATATGTAACATTACATTACCATCATACCCATAGTTCTGTGCAGGGCAGTTAGCACAGGGGCTGTGTTAAAAAAAAAAAAAGTGCATGGAGCCGTTGCACTCCATTGATTTAAAATTATTTTAGCCTTGTCTTAGTATGTGGCAACCAATGTGGATGGAAAGGATAGCTTTGTGACTTGTTTGTGGCTCATTACTTATTAAACTTGCATATTTAGGGCATCTTTGAAACTGTTCTGGGTTGAGTAGCATTGACATAAACATATTCTTCAGCTCTGAAAGTGGTGCTTTTCCCAAGCAGTGACCCAGATACTTGTTACACAGAGCAGAGTATTCAGCCTTGTAGCTTCATATACCAGAATCATAGAATGGTTTGGGTTGGAAGGGACCTTAAAGATCATCTAGTTCCACCCCCCCTGCCATGGGCAGGGACACCTTCCACTAGACCAGGTTGCTCAAAGCCTCATCCAGCCTGGCCTTGAACACTTCCAGGGATGGGGCATCCACAGCTGCTCTGGGCAACCTGTTCCAGTGCCTCCCCACCCTCTCCATGAAGAACTTCTTCCTGATATCTAATCTAAACCTCCCCGCTTTCACTTTAAACCCGTTCCCCCTTGTCCTGTCACTACAGGCCCTTGTAAAAAGTACCCCCCAGCTTCCTTGTAGGCCCAAATAATGAATGCGGTAGTCCTGGTGTAACTAATCTTTTAGTTAATGAATGAAAATTACTATGGTACACTAAAACATGAAGCCTTGAAAGGTGTTTTGAAAATTACAGAGAATGGAATATTGCTTAAAAGTATGTGTCCCAGTCCAGAGGTTAAATTCCTTGGTGGTTTCGAGAAAATAGTCAGGTACAGATACCTCTTACAAAGAAAAAGATTGTACAATTTACAACATTGGAAATTAAATGCACGTTCCAAAGTAGAGATGTTATTTATATTTGGATCGAATTTCATTTATATGGATGCAAAAACATAAACATGCTTTTCATTTGTCCTTCTAGAAATGGCCGTGATGCTTGCAGAGAGTTGATTGGATTTTTCTTTGCATGTGACAGATCCCTTACTGTATATGAATTTCGACAGTTTGGAAAAAATAGGTAGGATAAACTACTTTTATAAAAAGTTTTTAGAAAAAGTGTTCCACGCACATAAGAAACTTAAATTTGATTGTTTTAATATCAGGTGTTTTTAATTATTTCACAGAACAAATGCATTGCCTTTCATTCAGAAGGGAGTTTATCAACATCAACGTGGACAAAAGAAGGGAAAATCTTACGATCTCAGTGACTTCTATATTGTAAGTATTCTTCTGTTGAATACAAGTCAGTTTTGGGTGATTTGGAAGTCATATTTAGGTATTTGAGTTGACATTTGTGATCCAGCTTTAAGAGAGGTCCAGAAGTCTTCAATAACATTTTCGAATTAAACATTTTAGGAGTCTGGATTAATTTGCTGTCCCGTGTTTTTAGAGATTGCAGTTTTTGCTTCAGATTAAGCTGTAGTTTGTAATTTTCCCACAAGAGGGTGCAAGACTGCAGCAGTGTAGACCTTTTTGTAGGCAAAATGAACAACTCGGGAAGGAGTCCTGAAGATGAAGTAGACCAAAATACTTGCTAAAAAATAATAGTCTTTGCAAGGTCTGCTGGCATTTTAGACAAGAGGCAATGATTAAATATTGTTTAAACATGAGGAAATTGCAGTTTAATTGCTTTTAACCTGAAGTTTGAAAATATTTACCACCAGTTGTTTAGAAAGAGCTTTTGAAACAGTGGTAAAATTCATCTACCAGTTAATCTGTCAAATGACTACAAATCATATTGCATTTTCTGTACTAGGTTAAGTGTTCCTGGCTTATGAATTCTTTGAGCAGTTTTTCAAGTACAGAGGGTTTTCACTGAGTTCTTAACATCCTCCTGCAAATCTCAACCTCAGAGCAAAATCTGTGTTTGAACGAAGTATTAGAAGTAAAATAAGACAACATTAGTTTTTAGAGTGTTTTTTCTAATCCTGTTTACATGTTGCTATGATATAAGAGTTTCCAAGATGAAATAGATTACTTTATGGTAGGGAGGTTGAAACTATTTTTTAGACTTTTTTTTGTTTTGTTTTTGTTTTGTTATGTGTATCTTCACAACCTGCAGATGGCAATGTGTTCTGAATAAAGATCAGTCCTAAAGCCATCCGGAAGATGTACTGCTAGTGAGTTGATAGCTCTTTGGAATGATGTTGTATCTGCAAACAGGGTTCTTGGGCTGACATTAAGATACACACCTCTCTCACAAAGTCCAAATAGCTGAGACACATAATGACAGTGTCTCTATCTCCTTCCTAATATACAGGTTTTGGAGGCTTTGTAACTCAAGCCTGCATGGATATCACAGTTAGAGCTACTGGAGTGTTTTATTCTTCTCAGCATTTTTTGCTTTTAGTTTGCTGCTTTTCTTTCTCTCCCCTTCCCTGTTCTCCCAAACCAAAAACATCTTCAGTTTTGCAGAATATGAGAGGGGTGCCTGTCCCCAACTTGGAGGGAAGGGGAATTTCTAGTACTCAGAAGAGACTGTACTGGGTAATAGAAGTCTGCTTTACTACTAAGTTGTTTTTTATTCAATATTTTTTAGTGAAATCTAGAAATTTTAAAGAATAACTTTATAGTTAAACATTTCAGGAATGATCTGAACTTTGGGAAGGTTACTTTTTAGTTGTTTGTTTATCTCAAGCATGATCTAAGGTTGTGGAAAGTAACTGTGGAGGGTTTCTTCTAGTCTGAGAACTGCTGTTGTGGAATTGATGTGGCACCTTCTGTGGGCCAGTGAGTTTTGGATCCCCTAAGGATGGAGGGAGAAGAAAACTTGAAAAGTAGAGCCTGGCTGAGGGAACAACAATCTGTAGTCTCATGTTTCTCAGCTTTAGATTAGGCAGTAGTAGGTCCTCTTAGTAGACAAACTTCTGTGTCATCTTGGAGTTCTCATTTAGTACTGGAAAGGCTCTGTTAAAAAGGTTAACTGACATTTGCTATACCTATTCACCATTTCATACTAAGTCTGTTAAAAATCATACTTCTTGAAAGTCTTGTGTATATTTTACAACATACACAAGGTATTTTTAAGTCATTGTATGCTTTACCAACAGGGAGCTAACCTAACTTTCCGGAGCGTTGATCATAACCTTCCAGAAAGCGTTAAGCAGAAACCAGTTCTCACCCTTCGTGTGATAAGTATTGATGAAGCGGCTATGGATTTTCTAAAGTAAGTGCAGCTAACTCTTTTGAATTACCATTTCTTTCTTCAACAAAAAAGATTTTTTGATAAGAGCTTCTAGTATCTTATTACTCATTCTGCTAAAAATATCAGTATTTAGGCTGTTGTTAGGAGAAATTAGTAGTCGATGTTAGTGGATGTTCTGTAATTCAGCATCTTTCTAAAATGATAAGGAGTAATTTTAACATAAGACAGTTTCATCATTTAATTAATCCTTATTTGCTTTGTTTGAATTCAGGTGGTTTTACATACAAATTAGATACTGAAACTTACCGATGAACTAAAATACTATGTTTGGGGAAAAATGTGGTTTTTTGGTGATCAACTTTATTACTGAATCTTTTGTGAAGCTTGTGTTAGAAGCTTTTATCAGTCATGATAACGCAAGTGTTTGAACACAGGCAGGGAAAGGATTTGAGGTTTCTTTTTTTTTTTTTTCCTTTTTAATTTTCTTTTTTCTTCCTCTATCTATCCCTTCACTTTTCTTCCAAATATCAACACATGTTGAAGACTTCAGGCACTGGGACAGGATTTCTGCACTTATTCTTTCAAAACAGGTTTTAGTAAATCATGTTATTCCACAGCCTGAAAGATGAGAATTTCTTAGAACTTCTTCAAATCATTACATGAATGGTTAATCTTTGAGCATGCATTATTTTTGAAGGTAATATTCTTGTCTCAGTATCTATAGAGAAGGAAACTGTCTAGGGAGTGCAACATCTTTCTCTGGGGTTTCTGGCTTTTAGTGTGAGTATACTGGTTCTTAACACAAATAAAATCTTGGTATAAAATTTTTATTGCACTGCTGTGTTGCCTGAACATGGAAGTTACTTAACAGTGTGGAAATACTATCAGGGCTTGTTTACTCAAAATTTGGTGGAGTGTTAGCTGATAGCAGATGTTACAAGGTAGAAATTTTAATAAAATCTTGGAATCATAGAAAGGGACCTCAAGAGGGTCTCTAGTACAACCTCCCTGCTCAGAATAGGGTTGTTTACAGCAGGTTGCTCAGGGCTGCATTCAGTTGGGTTTTTTTAATCTCTCCAAGGACAGAGACTCTGCAACCACTGTGGTTGAACATATTGTTAACATATTCCAGTGTTCGGTCACCCTCACGGTGCAAAAGTGTTTCCTGGTGTTCAGAAGGAACTTCCCATGTTTCAGCTTGTGTCCATGGCCTCTTGTCCTGTCACTGGGCTCCACCATGCAGAACCTCTCTGCCATCTTTACTCCCTCCTGTAAGGTATTTACACACACTGCTAACATCCCTTGAGCCTTCTCTTACCAGGCTAAACAGTTCTAGCTGCTATGACCTCTCATCATATATCAGATGCTTCAATCCCTTCTTGACTAGGAACAGCAATAACAGCCTCAATTAAATAAGTTCACTATCTAAAGACTTCTTTTTTTAGCACAACTTAACTGACTCTCATTTTTATTTCTGCAAGTGTTTAGACACACAATACTTGTTCTCAGTTACGGTAATACTCACTTTAGAGTCCCTTTACACTGAAAGCTTTGCAAAGGAGCCATAGTGAGCTAACAGTACATGAAACAGTAAATTCAAATGTAATTGGTTATAGAAATATATAGTTTTATGACGCTTAGTGCTAATTGTTCCCTCTGCAAGGTTTCCATGAAATAAAACACAATATAATTTAATTTCAGATAGTTTATGTAAGACATTTTACATCTCAAAAGCCTATCATCCTGGTAAACAGCTTTTTCTTTCATTTGTTGCTAATCTTATACCTGTGAAATTTGGACTTGATCCAATGTAATCTCTGAAGACTCCAGAAAGAAGACATACTCGCTGAGTTATAATTTTGGATTTTCTGCTACCTGTGGTGGAACAGATTGTTTCTTTTTTATACACTTTCTCTCTGTTCTTTCCATTAGTAACTAAATTTCAGATTGTGAAGTCTGTCTGCTTCTTCTGAATGGGGGTGTTATTGACCTCAGTATTTTCTGGTGCAAAACTCTTGAATTGAGTCCTCTGCCCTCCCTTACTGTACTCGCAGAGAATCCTGCTGGGATACAGTCCAAAGGTCTTCAGCAGCTTTTAAGGAGCAGGGATGTCCTGCTGTCACAAGCAATGAATCTCCTGGTTTACGTGTGTTTTAGAGAGGGAATGCTGTCCTCTGTAGGTGGTTCTTGACTTTTCAGTTTAGGTGGTTTGATATACACAAGCTTTTAGGGACTTCCTAGTGGGAGATACATCTCTGCAGTCTGTTAAAACTTTCCATCTCCAGTTCAGGTAAGTCTTTGGCCTCAGAGGGTAGGAGTAGTTCTCCATGCCAAATACTGCTGAGCAAGCAGCTCAAAGTTGACAGTAGTGCTTTTGCATTTACCTTCCCATTCTGATTAAAGTAATTACTGGACTTTTTCTTTCTTTCCGATGGGTTCTTCCATAGTATTTTATCAACATCTATAATATTTTCTGATGGGGGTTTCTCGGAAGCCCTTCTCAGAAGGGAATCACTTGCCAGACAAACCACAAACTTTAACCATAATTCCTAGATCATACTTAAGATACTCTGATCCAGGTTTTGGTCTATGCTCTTGTTATTTCTCTTCTAAAGTGAGATTTGTTGCTACTTCATGTTACTGTTCTATTGGTAGCTAAATGGACTGCTTTAACAAAGTCTTTCAGTGGCCTGAGCTGAAGATTAGGACTTTCTTGAAATAAATTTCTGGAGATGTTACACACAGGAGGAATTATCCATAATTAATGAATTAGTAGGGGACCTGCTAATGGAATATTGTCAGGAAGGAATTTCTGCATATCTGCAACTGTTCAGCAGACAGGGTGTGCCATCTCAAACTCCAGCAATTGCATACTATGCCTGTGATGGTAGCATAAGAATAAATATAAACTTCCTTCTATTTTTTATTTTACTACAGCTGTTTTAAATTCAGTAATATTTCAGGTATTTCACCAATCAAGATTAATTTTGATTATTTTAGAATGACTTCTATGGAATTTAAGGAAGAGATTTCCAAGCAAGTGGCTGATGACAGCAAAGTTTTCAAGAAGATTCAAGGTTTGTGTCTGCCAGAACCCACTGAATTTTGATTTCTGTATCTCTGTCTTTACAGCTCAGTGTGAAGAACAATTGTTTCTCTTGGGGCCATTCTAATATGGCCATTATTTCTGTACTTTGATAAGTTAGGTTTTGATAGTCTTTAATATTCTTTAATCTTCTAGTTATTCCATGTTTTCCCTTGCGTGATAGACACCGATTGGTTTCTCAATTACCTGACTACATAACAGGTTTGCTGATGTGGCTTGGAAGGACACATTTTGGTTTATAATTGTAGATACGGGTAATCTGAAGTTGTAATGTGATAATACCAGATGACTTCTGTCAACAGAGTATGCTGACAAACTCAGAATTCCCTAATGTAAACCTGCTACCTACAGATTTTCATAAGGCTGTCATTCTTACTAGAGAAAGTGCTCTGTATGATTTTGGAACGACTTTGCAGAATTGCTTGTATTTGTTCTTGTTTCCACGTGCAACATATTTGGACAATGAAGGAGCAACTGTGTGTCCCATAATGGAATGTTTTGTTACTGAAGTAGTGTTCCTAAGTTGCTTTGTATGTAGAATCATGGTACATAATCGGTTCTAGCAAAAGTAAGCAGTTTTATAATCTGAGCACATAAAGGGCGATATCCATTCTTCCTTTCTCTCTGTGAGCTCTTTAAATCTTCTGTTAGATGTTGGCTGCTGGTTTACATGATTTCTATTCAAACGTTAAGTAACTGACTATTTAATTTTGAACGGACATTCCCTCATCAAAGATAAGGGAACCTGGATACGTGGATGTCTCATTTTAACCAGCAGTTTCATAAGCAGTTGTGGTTTGCTTTTATATCAGCTCCATAACATGCGGCCAACGTCAGGTAAACATTGTGTCCTTTATTTCTGTAAATCCTCAGGTGTACTCAGAGACACGCTAAGTAAAAGAGGAGTTCGGGTTATAACAGGCTTAGGAAAGTATTTCCGACACACAGACAAGAACAGGAATGGTTTTCTCTCTCAAGCAGACTTTAAAGAAGCTCTGAAAGTATTCCATTTGGAAATACCTGAAGAGGTAAGTCTAGCTGTAGCAGTAATCTTTGGTATTATCTTACTTTAATTTATAGAATCACTTCCTCTCTTTGCTTAAACCTATAGTTTAATAGCTATTTTTTGCAAGATTTTTTTCCCCTTGTGGTATATTGGCATATCTGCATTCAGTCCTATGTGGAATTCTTAAAAATAGTAAAAAAATTTAGTTAATTTAAAAATGTGCAGTCTTCATACATCATGTAAAAGCAAATGGGGTTAGAATACATTTTTTTCTTTTTTGGTATTTTAAAAATAATTTATATGATGGTATTTACTTATCCTTTTTCTTGGTTTTATATATTATGTTTTAAAAACAGCCCACAGCTATCAAAATGGCAAATACTACGAGTTATGGTCATCAGTGACTGATGAGTTGCATTACTTCCAAATCAAAACTGACTCAAAAGATTTGTCAAAATAGTTTTTTCCTGAGAATATTGTAATTTCCTATTACAGCAAATGCTTCATTCTAGGACATAGTTAAGAACTTTGGGAAAATACTTTTGAATTGCAGGACTTTGAATCCTTATGGCTTATTCTTGATGATAACAAGAGTGACAAGGTTGACTATGGAGAATTTAGTCGTGCCGTATTTGGAGAAATGAATGAATATCGGAAAGCATTTGTAAGAAAAGTAAGTTTTGTTGCAGATGCTCTAGGCGTAGATATTTTTGCAGTGTAACTTTGAAGCTGCTTATTCATCATGTTGTGGTTGGCTTGTTGTTGTTTTTTCTCCTGAATTGTGCATCTGGTAATTGACTTTTTAAACTTCCAGATTTGTTTATTGAAATAAACATAAATTAGAAGACTGCATGCTGTTCCGTTGTTGCATTAGTTAATTTTGAACTCTAGAATTAATTCCTTTATTATTTTGAGTTTGTGTGCTATTCGTACAGTTCAGTCGAGTGTATGAAGCATCTTGGCACCCTGAAACTCTGTCATCCAGAAGCCTGTTTCATTATTTTGGCGTATCACTGTGTCTGCGTGCAGATTTTTTTTTTCCCCCTCAGTGTCTGAAACAGAGGCAATAATTCTTCTCTCCTTCGAGAACTACAGTTAGAGGCATTATATTTGTGAGGCTTTTTATATTTGAAATGCTATTTTATATATGTCTGTAATGTAATGTGGAGCTGTTTGCAATGTGAAACACTGATTACAAACCAGCCGGTAGAGTGGCAACAGGATATCAAGATCAAGAAAAATGACACATACTTTCATACTTTTAATCGTGGAGGACCTGGCTCTCCTAGCCTTACGGACGGAGCATGTGTGTTTGAGTAAGCTGAAATGAAACGGAAGGTGCTGTTAGCAGTGCTGAAGAGGCTGTGTTGAGGCCTGTCAGAATGACACAGGAACCTTAGTAATTGGAGGAGGCAGAAGGGAAGGAGCTTAACTTCTAATTCTAAGCATGAGCTGGAAATTTTGGAGAGAAGACACATTTTTTTGAGTTGGTGAGGGAACCACATTTGATGCGAAAACTGTTGAGATAAAATAATCATGAAATTCTATAATCTAGAATAATTTTCTGGTATCTGGTGCCTTACATAAAATAGGTAAGTTGACATAACCCATTGCACAAGACCTAAAAATGTGTGGTAGGTAGTTAAGTATATTTGATCTTTGTATCTTTCCACTTGCTTTATTTTCTGTTTCCTTTTATATGTATATGATTTTTTTTTTTTTCCTTTTATAGGCTTATATGAAACTAGATTTCAACAAAACTGGGAGTGTGCCTATGGTAGATATCACAAAATGTTACTGTGCAAAGAAACATCCTCTAGTATTGGCAGGTAATTCACATGAACAAAGCAAATTAAAATCTGTAACTACCAAAGTCACCTTCTTAGCAAAAATACCAGATCCAGAAACTACTTGCAAAAAACCAAGCTGTTAACATGTTGTCTTAGAGTTGAGCTGTTAAGGAGAACTTCTTACCGCTTAAGACCTATAATGTGTCTGTCTGGAACATGACTGTAAGTAGTGATGGAGTTCATATACACAATTTTAATGCCACCTTTTATCAAGTGGCAAATACTGCATGTGTGCAGAGTGGATCCTTTCCCTGCTGTGTAGGGCTACACATAAGCAGTTACTTCTCAGCTTTGGTGTTCAAGTTATCAGTGACACATATGATATTAGTAATTTTCACTTAGGAGGATACTCTCATTTTCATATTACTGTTTTCCATCAAAACATGCAAGGTTTCCAACTGATACTGAATGTACTTGGCACTTGAAGTTCCTTTTGAATAAATTATTTATTCCTGGGGCAGGATTGTCATCTTTTATAAGAGCAAGTGTTGGTATCTTCATTATTTTTTCAGGATTCCTAAAAATGTTTAAACTCTGCCATTGAAAACAGGGCATTTTAAATATTTGTATGTCGGTTTTTAAAATTAACATCTCCATGTACCAAACTAGTCCTTGTCAAGTTTCCCTGGTGTCCTGACCCTTTCTGTTTTACCGATTGTGTTGGTTTTTGCTGGGATAGAGTTAATTTTCTTCGCGATAGTTAGTCTGGGGCTGTGTTTTGGATTTGTGCTGAGAAGAATGTTGATAACACTGATGTTTTGGTCAATGGCAAGTAATACTTATATTAAGCCAAGGACTTCTCAGTTTCTCATACTGCCCCTGTTCTCCCAGCTGCTTCTCTGCAAGAAGCTGGGAGGGGACACAGCAAGGCCAGTGACCCCAGCTGACCAAAGGGATATTTCACACCATAAAACTTCATGCCCAGTATATAAGGTAGCGGGGAGGGATGAGCTGGGGTCCTTCTCTCCCTCAGGCCTGGTCTGGCTCCAGGGCTTGTTCTCTTGGGCGCTCTAGCTCTTGATACTTGGGGACTGGTTGGGCACCGGTCAGTGGGTGGTGAGTGGTTGAAAATTTCTTATCTGAAATATATTAAATGCTGTATATTCAGTGTTCTTTAAAATGTATTTAATGGAAAAATATACTTTAACAGGCAAAGCTACAGAAGAAGAAATTAAATCGTCATTTCTAGAGACATTAGGAGAGTCCTGCAGCAACCCCAACGAAGTGTCCTACTCTGAGTTTGAAGATTACTATGAAGGATTAAGTATTGGGATAATGGATGATGATGATTTTGTTAATATCTTAAGGAACCCTTGGGGAATTTAGAGAGGCAGACGACAAATGAAGAGGAGACATTTTCTAAAGAAGGAGCTAACTAAATAAGGGAAGATTTAGTCTTGATGTACATTACTCCATAATTAGTGTCTTAAACTTATTTCAGGGACTGAAAATTTTAGATCCTTTCAGAGTAATACAATTTTCTTAGTGTCTGCTGAGATGTGCCAACTACTTTTTTAATATAAATGCTCTTCTTTTTTTTTAATTGGAAATATTAAAGGCTGTTCCCCACACCAGGATGTGTGATTTACGTGATATTAGAATACACTGGCTTATTTTAAATTATGAGGGAATTAGAATACTAAAATGCATGAAGGAGTACATGCAGAGAAAATTTAGTTTTATGACGCATTGTGATTTGATTGTATAAATATCAGTGGTAGCTTTTCTTCAGAGTTTTCTATATGTTTATTCTTACAGCATTCTTTGTCTCATTTCTTGTTTCTTCTGCTGGTACTTGGCCTGAAAGGGAGCAGGTCATCCTTTTCCAATTTTGAGGGTGCCTGCAGTACTAAAAGTGCAGAGACATTCCCACCAATTAGCCTTTGAACTCCTCTGCGGACTGTCTCCACTGATCTTATTTTTTCATCAGGTATCTGAAGCTGAGTATTGAATCACAAAGGTTTCAAGAAGCACACGTATATTTTGTAACACACTCCTTCCCTGCCTGTATTTTGCTGAGGGGTTTTCAAAACAAGTAATTTCTATTTAATGGTTTTTATTTCTGGCTTCTGTGTTTTCTATTGCAGTGATATTTTTTTAAATAAAACTTACCAATCATATCCTTTGTGAAACTGATATATAGCATTTCCTATCTCTGTAGCATTTCCTATTTACTCTGAAAGTCTGAAGAAAAGTGTAAAAAAAAAAAAAAAAACCACCCAAAAAAACCCCACACAACAACCCTCCCAAAAAAAAAATCCCAAACACATCCGTCGCGACAAAAATTAAACCATGAATTAAAATATTCTTTGCTACTTTAAATATTTAGCCAGATATGCTTTTCAATGTAACACATCTTGTTAATTCTGTGAAATTCTTTGTGTTAATTAATACTGTGGGTTTTTATTCCTTATATGCAGAGAGAGATGGTTTCAGTATACCTGTCACTGAAATTAACTGTATGTTGAACTGCAGTTCTTGAGCTCATGCAATTAAAATGTATGTCGTCTTTGTGCTTATCTGCCTAGTTTTGAACTTATAGTCTGTGGTTAACAGAACCTTCCTCTGAGACATAATATGGGTTTCATAGAAATTTAAGAGCAGTGCTGAAATAAAGGGTGAAGTGAGGGACTTTGGTCCCCCTGTGCCTGACTGGTTTATTCTAGGGAGAGCACTTTCGTGTTCTAATAGCTTGTGCATCATTATCTCTTTGGATTGTTTGTGCTCTGTCCTCACTTGTAGCTAGAATTGCAGTTTCTGCTCTGAATCCTCAAATGAGGGATTTTGGGGAGGTTCTTTTGGGGCTGCAAAAGTCTGTATGTGTCAGTTTACAGCAAAAGGCAAATTCTGTCGATGCTTATTCAACCAAGGATTCTGATGTGGCTGATTATAGTTTTCTTACTCCCCATTCCTGC